CAGTTCTTGCTTGCAAGCAAATGGTATTTCTTGCAGATATTCCAATGTACCATTGTTGCTATTTTGTCATGACGTTGTTTGTAGTCAGTCTGTGTAATCTTCTTGCAGCAGCTAACTAGGTGGTTTACTGTTTCTTCAGCTTTTTTGCAGAGGCAGCATTTGCTGCCTGTTGCTGTCTTCTCAGTTCTGGCTTTATATGCGTTTGTTCTTAAGACTTGGTCTTGTGCAGCCAGCCCCCCTGTCTCTTTCTTCAACTTTCCTGCTCTTAGCCATTGCCAGGTCTTGTTATCTGCTTTAGCCATGTCTCTTTTCTGTTCTTCATTTGGTCTTTCTTATAGGCCAGTTTGGTTTCTTTGGTATTCAGTAAGCCTTCACAGTGTACTAGTTTCAGTGCATCTTCTTCACTGTCCTTCAGATATTCTTCCAATGTTCTTTTTTCTTCTTCAACTGTCTGGCGTACTTGTAGCACTCCACGTCTACTTATGCTCCTTGGTAAATAGAGTCTGTCGACAGTGCTTCACGGATGAAGGGTATGCATCATTGTCATTATTTTTCTGGTCTTTCTATCCAGGGCCTCTAGTTGAGCTTGAGTCCAGTCCACTATTTCAGCTGTACTGTATATCTAATGACTGGAATTGCCCAGGTGTTAATTGCCTTGATAGTATTTCCGCCACTGAGTTGTTGTTGTTGTTGTTGTTAACATCAAGTCTGATTCATTTCAATTTATACAGTAACTAGACAGGGCTCCAAACTCATGTATTAATGACATGTGATTATAAAATGTAAACTATCATTGGAATATACTGGAAAACCATAATATCGTCAGAATTTCTGCAGAAATAAATGATTCATACTAGAATGAAACAAATATTAAAAGATGAATTTCCTTTTCAACCTGCGATATTCTTACTAAGCCATATACTTCCACAAGGTATACTGAATTGGCTTTGTATATGCTAACTGCCGCATATTTATGCTTTAGGCTTCTTATTAGAAAGAATGCCTCTTTCCCTTTGTAGGCCAAATAAGTTGTGAAAGTATGCTTTGATGTCTAGAATAACTCCTTATCTTAACAGTAATTATGATGCAGAATCTCATTGAATTTGGAAGCCATTTTTAGTTTATGTTTACATAAATATTTCAATTTTATAGGACTTCTTAAATTAGGATAGACTATGGCTAGAGTTTATCATATTTTACAATTTAAATTTATTATTCATATGGTCCTGTTTGCTTTTCCTGATTTATTTTATCTATCAAATTTATATGGCCGCCCATCTCACACAAAATGATTCTGGGCAGGGTACAATAAAACCAACAATTAAAACATACTACAAAGACCACTTAAAACAATTAAATTAATTAAACATAAATATATTTTATTTTATATATTATTTATATATATGTATATGTATTCTGCTTAGCTATTTTCAGGTTTTAAAAACCACACTAAAGGATTTCTTGGGATAATGGTAGCCCAGGTTCATTGTGCATACCTTTAGTTGGGATTCTCTGGGCAGTACCCCAACTAAATGTATGCATAATATATTTGGTTATTTGTAATTATGTAATGCTAATTAAAATAATAATAATCACAATGAAATATTTAAAAATTGTAACATGTAAATCCCTTGTTCACTTGCCTGATTATATCCTTTCATTCTTTTCTTTTTGTTCCTTCTCATTTTCTTATATTTCTTAAAAATGTTCAATAAAATATTAAATATATTTTTATAATTAATACAAAGTTTTATATTATATTTAATTAATTATTTTTCCCATTTCATTTAACATTTTAATACAATACATTTAATATTTTAATAACTTAATTTT